AAAGAATTAATAAAAAGAAAAAATGTTAGCTGGACAGTGGACACAACAACACAAACGAGGACGCCTTAAACTACTTTCAGGTTTCAGTTTCACATGCCCTTGGCAATGTGTACAAAAACAGATAACTTACACTGGCTATTTACATTCCTAAATGATTGAATGTAATGAAAAAAGACCACACACATACACAAAAAATAAAATAAAAATAAGAAATAAAAAAAGGGGGTGAAAATGATGGTGTTTACCAGAGGCCAATGATCTTGACAGTGAAATCAACGTCCGATTGATCGCCTGCCTGAATTTTCTATCCTGAAGTCTACAGATTCTTGTAAGAAAAAATATTTGGTTTTTGCATCCCAACGATTTTCGTGGACCTCTAAATAGTGTAGTCGGTTTGGAGGAATCTCTCGTAAGTTGTTCCATTGAGAGCCATTTTAACGTCAGCCCAATTCTTGATGTGATTTGATAATGAACCTCGGTGTATCTTCACCTGTCGGCTTGTTAACTCCATCACAGGCAACCCTAGAAATTGCTGCACTTCTACAAGTTTCTGTAACACATGTTAATTAAGGATGAAAAATGAATCAAAATGGTTTATTATGGCAATGATTCTAAGGACCTAATGAAATGCCACTTAGAAATGTATATGCCACCAAATGGGGTTATTTCTCATAATTTTTCATTTACATACAAAAAGCACTATAAGTTAACCATGGAAAAATAACATTTTGTTGGAAAAATAATCCTATGAATCTCAAACATAATACACATTTAGACATGGTAAACAAATAATGGACCACAAACGAAATGCAGATCACAAGACTTAAAATTCCCTGTGAGGAGCAGAAAAACTTACAGTTCGGTTTTTAACGAGATCTTCATAATACAGAATAATGTGCCTAGTGCTGCTAAAATTCTCCACAACCTCAAAGGCCATCTTCTCCATGAGCTTTAAATCCATCACCAGTGACGTTGAGTTGATCTCAGGTTTATAACTGGAGAGAGTCTCAGCCTACATGAGAGAAAAAGGTACACACCAAACTAAACTGAAATTTTATTTCTATAAGTTATTTGTTTGGTTTTGAAGGTGAGGGAGAAAAAAGAGTTTGTACCTCTTCACGCGAATGAACATGGGATTTATGTGTCCCATTCAGTAGTTTCGCGTACCGATCGTAAGAATTCGCGAGCACCGAAACCATCCGGCGCAGAAGATTTCTCCGGAAGAGGAATATTACCGAAACGCCCCTATCGTTAAAGTATTCCGTGATTTCTTTATGGTACTCCATCACTCCCTAAATCACAAATGTGTGTTGATTTCAATATTTTGGTGATAAGTTACTCAAATTTGTTAACAATTGCTTCATCTAAAAGATTACAGCATAGATAGCCAATTTTTTTTCCCAAAAAATAAAGAAAGAAAAGGAAAAAAGAACAAATGCATACCTGATTAAGCATCCATTTGAAGCCAACTGCCGCTGAGCACTGATTCTTGGAAGCACTGGTAAACCAGTCCAAGCTGTAAACTTTATCGAGGGTCGAAAATATTGAAGAGGCATTACTTCTCCTCTCTTTGGAAGAGAATATCTCCCCATTTGAACTCATGTTTGTATGGCTATTCAAGAGAGTCTCAAACCACCCACTACCGGACCTTTGCATGGTTAGAATCACGAAAAGCCGCACGGGATTACATGCGCACTCAGCCCTTCAAACACAAGAAACAAACTTAAATCTTTCGAAATTTTCCAATTTGTCTAATCACCAAGTTTTCAAGAAGCTCAACCTCCAGGTTTAATTAATGTACCCTTTAGATTAATCTAATCATTGGGAAAAAAACATAAAATTTTAAAATTCCCCCTATTTAAATTTTTTTCCATTTTACAATTTTGGATCTTTAAGGAGTGTTTGTAAATAATGGCAACCCTCTAGACTCTGAGGGTGTAATATTTTCAGCGGGCAGACCATAATTTCGAAAGATCATTGAGTTTGTTTCTCCCAGAGGCACACAGTAAAATAAAGAACTCTAGGAAAAGCTAAATTAAACTCTAGGAAAATCTAAATTAACTCAGGAAAGAATCCTAAAAAACTCATAACAAAATTAAAAATAGAAAACCCTGAGAAAAGATAAAAGAACTGAATTAACGGTGGCGGGGGGTCGGTAAAACTGATTTGAATGAAAAACCAAAATTTGGCCATGGTATGATTTTTATATACACAAGNATTATGCAAACCTATTGGGTGCTATTTTTAATTATCCGATGAGCATTACGGTCAATAGTAATCACCTGCTAAACATAGATGGTTTGGGATAGTGCAAATAAGGAACCCGAGATCTATCGATGTCGTGATTGTGACAATTGGTCCAATTAACGTCGAAATTTATGAACTTGGAACTGCTGGTGTGGCCAATAGTCTGCTTGAGACATACTGAGAAAATGTAAGCACCACAAAAAATTGCAAACACTAAGACTAACTTCCGCAATGAAGCTGGCGATTTCTTGGGAGGTTTTATAACTATGGCGTCCTGTAAATGTGAACCCACAAAGTGCAGAACGATGTCAGTGTAGTGTACGAATAAAGGAACAATTACATTTAGTTAAAAATTCATATATGCTGATCACATAAGTGCAGTGTTGAAACAGGCTATAGAATCGTCATGCATTGCTTGCTTGCTCACCAATTTTTATGGAGACCCAAATAAAGCTAACAAACTAATTCAGCCTGTTTGTGGTTTCCAATTCCAATGGCATTTCACATGATTCGTGAAAACCAAATGGAAAAAAATTTAAACAGAAAAAAAAACTACTAAATCTATTGATAGAATAAATGCTACATTAAAAAAGTTTCCCCATTTTCAGGCAGTAAATCTGGAAGAAGCTACACGAAGAGGTCACAGAAAGAGAGGAACAACAGTCTTTGTCACTTTAGGATCACGCATTAGAAATGATCAAGAGGGGCCGAAAAGATAGTGTTGACACAATAGACCTCGTTATTCACAATACAAAATCCAAAAGAATAAGAAAAGTGTGCATTCTTAATTTCAGCATCTCAGAACATCATAACTATCCTGGCTAAAGAATTCATCCTCAACCCAACAAACGATTTTGATATTCCGAGCAAATTGCATTTTCCTTACAAGAAAACACGCAAAGTATATCCAAAGCTTGAACCTTTAAGATGACTACCAAAAACAGAACAAAAATATTCACAATCCCAGCATACTGGAACTAGCCCACTACCACAGTAAACCCAAACACTCATAAAAACAAGTGAAGGCCACAAGAAATCAAGAAAATACAAGGGAAAACAAAACAAAAAAAAGAAAGAAGCATTAAGAGGACTCACTTTAGCTACAATACAGATACCTTCAGCCATTAAACCTCCCAAGGACGAGAAAAAATCCCAAAAGGGACCTCCCCAAAGACCTTCAGGTGTACTCAAGAATCGGCCATAATCACCTCTAACCAGTGACCTCCCCAAAGACCTTCAGATTTATTCAAGAATCGCTAATAGTCACCTCTAACCATTGTGCAGATCAACGAACAAGGAAAACCTTCAAGCAGAACATATGCCTAAAATAGCATCTAATGGTTTGTTGGGTGAGATTTTTTCCGTAATTGTTTTCACAATTCAGCAGTAGAGCTCGGTGGTTGAGCTTTTAGTTCCTCGTTAGATACGAAGGTAATAAAGTCGAATAGAGCTGGTCGGCGCTCTTGCTCTACTGTGTGTGTTCTGCTTAGTGCTTTCGTCTGCTGGATTTATTTCTTTAAAATTGTTTGGTGGGGATAAAAATAATTTTCAATTTCTTGGGGACCGTTTGGTAAAGTTGAATCGGTGTTTCCGATTATCTGAAATTTTGAATTTATAGAAATTGGGGACTGTTGTCTTTACTTGCACAAAATTCTTTTTCCCATCAGTAAATATTCATTAAAAAATAAATTAAGGGAAATTGTCAAATTGAACAACTTTTTGGAGAATATATATTGATGGAAATGCATTGTTTAGACTTCATATATACAAAAAGGTAATGAAAATTTAAAATAATTATTGGTCAGAATAGATGAGTAGAGTAATAATAATAAATTTTACAGGAATGTGTACATTAGT